TATAGGCCTAGGTCAAAACTCTGACACCAAGGAAGAGACCAGCATGCCCCGATGTAACCCGTGGCCGTGACAGGCCATACCTAAGGGTTCACATCAAGAACAGCGTCGGGCGTACCGGTGCTATTCTGCCTAACCATCGTACGAACGCTGATAGGCACGTCAGTTCATCACGATGTCCGCCAGGACAGAATGGAACGCCATGACCGGCAGATGACGCCTGCGTGTGGCGCTAGTGATGGATAGGGCCACGACGTGGAGCTTCTCCTGTTGACATCTACAGGGTTGGCGGGACCCGCATGAAGGAGAAGAAGGACCTAGCGATCCTAAAGGACTTCTTCTCCCTCTCATTCTTCTTTTTTCCTCCGCTATAACCCATGCTTTCCCTTGGCCTATAAAAGGGAAAGCAGGGCATCCCATGGAGGGGATCGACCCATCGAGGACCAATTGAATCACCCCGAACCAAACAGAACACGAGATAAACACACAAGAACATGACACGAACACACGACTGAGCAGCGATCGAGCTCTCAGCACCCGTTCACTCTTTCCACCAGAGACTTGGGATCCTTTCCCTCTCTCGCCCGTTTGTACCCCCTACTACAAACTTGCAGTGCTAGTAACACGAGCAGCAGCAACGAACTGGATGTAGGGACTTTCTGCCCGAACTAGTATAAATCTTGTGTCCTCTAAGCACACCATCCGAGCCAGACGCATAATATTAGAAATTTACTCGTCGGTGGTAACTCGAAACACCAACATTGAGTTAGAATTTTTAGACAGCTGTATGAACCAGGATATTTGACTTGCATATATTATACTCCTAGAAGGATTGAGCAAGCATGAAGCTGCTAAATGTCAAGCATTGAAGCTAAGACATGTAAGAATTGATAGAAATTAGAACATTTAAAGTTTCTCTTGAAGAACTTAAATTATGTGCTTATAGATTTGTTGCTTTTGAAATTCATATCCTAAAGTATTGATAGTAGTCGTGGTGGTGCTTTAAGTTTTAAATTCCCGTTGAATTAAGTGGATTATGTAAACTCATAGAAGAGTTAATGGTTACTTTATTAGCTTGAAGACTAATATGAAGCATTTAATATTCTTAGTTGCAACTTTTACTTGCAGTAATATATGTCAATCTTGCATGAAATAAATTAGATTTATATGTTTTACATATAAACAATTGCCTATTGCCTATCTAAATAAATTTTGCATTAATTTTATCCACAAAGAAGCCTCAATTAACCATGAAGGTTATAGTTCTCTGTGCACTACTACCATGTAGGTAGAAGGGAAACTGAATTTCTAGAAGCACATGAACAATTGGACTATACTGGTATATGAACTGATCTTCGAATGATCAATTTAGCCAAGAAATAGTATAATTCATAAACTAAGTATTTAATACTTTTGTCCAAAACTAGAAGTTTATGTCCTACCCTGAATATGTTGTTGTACACTGAAAAGTACACTAGATATGTGAATTTCATACCACAACCAATGAATACTAGAAGTATGATTGGATTTTATGGAACATTAGAAATGATTATTCATAGACGATGCATGAAGCATATTACTACTTGAAGTAATTATGGCATGAAAAGGGGAGGAATTTTGGGTAAAGGCATGAGAAAATATGGGTAATAAATATTTAATAAGTATTGCCTTCCTAAAACTATCTTTAAGTGCATGTATAAGGACTTGAAGTTCTAGCCGCGTTCCTTCCGACCGAGTTAACTTTCCCTACATTGCACTAATTGCAACCAAGCTTGTAGCTTTGCATTTTTTATTATCTATTATGTTGGATTGAATATCAATATTCCACATTACACATGAATGTGTATCACTATGTTCTACTCTCGTTGAGCTGCGACTATCTCCACTCCTGCAAGAATATTAGCATAGAAGCTATATTCATAGCTTGTAGCTACTACATTTTCCTCTCATAATTAAATTGTCTAGCTAGCACGCTAGTAGTTCTCGTTGAACTAAGAAATATTTTGCTTTCAATGCATTGCATGCATAGGCATTATATTGGTCTATGGCCAAGTAGCCTAAGATCAGGGGGAGTTGGTTAATCTAAAAGGGCCAATTTGAATTTGGCTAAATGGAGAAGTGACCCATTTGAATGGACTGAATTATAGTGAAAATTGAGTTAATAGATAAAACACTTAATGATGATTTGAGATTTATGAAGAAAAGGCATTTGGTTAGAAAATTATAGAAGAAATTTAATGTAATTTTGAATGTTGCATATTTATACATTTGGAGTATATGATCCATTTTTTAATTACGTATGAGTAATTGGATCAATTTTTTGGCTAAACAATAAAGAAGCTAGATAATGACATAGTTTTTTTAAACTATGATATGTGAAAATCAGGGAGAGAATATCCCTGAGTTTGTAGGAATGCTAAACATTCTTAAGTGCACTTTATGTATTCTAGCTCGTTGCATTTAATGAATACTAACCCCCGTGTTTAAATATGTGCGTGAATATTTCCCATAAAATTTTATCATAGCATACATAAATCGGCCTCCACTTGTAGTTAGAGATACATAAATTTGAATTATTTTAAGCCCATTATAGGGGATATTTTTTAAAGTATGCTATTAAAGATCTAATATTGACATTAGGGGGAGAGAAAGCTTATGTTGAATGCCAAATATTATTTCCATAGAAGGAAAATGATCTTAAGAGAAAATATTCCTTGAAGCTTGAAGCAAGAATAGTATCACGCACTAAATCAAACAATAGTTTGACTAATGCTCTTGTAAAGCATGAAGCGGAGCATATGCCAGATATTTTTGAAAATGAGAGGAGTAACTTAAAGTTATAAATCAGAAGTTGTTTTTACTAGTAGTAAACTAAACGTTGTATACTATCAAGCTAAAATCCATGGGGACGTCTGTGGGTTCTAGTTTAGTGTATACTTATTGAATAGAAATAAAATAGTAACAAACTCCTCTATTCTCATGAAGAGAACACCTCATGAAGAAGGTCAAGCATCTCATGAAGAGAACCATCATGAAGATAAAATCCAACACACTAAGCGCGCGCATCATAGTGTTGGGTACGCAAAACAATAAATTATCTCTTGTTTGGGAAATGATAAAGAGATAGAATAATCTCATATTGTAAGAATATTGGGAGAAAATAATAGTTATCGACAACGCTACCTCTATAATTGCAAATGTTTCTCTTAGGAGAACCCGGATCCGGAAAACAAAGTCCATGGCAAAGTCGCCTGTAGCGATTATATCGGGTCAATGAAGAAAGCAATTGAGGTTGAATCTCCTACTAAGAAGAAATAAATATTCTGCTATATCTCTAGCAAATGAAATGAATGAATATGAAATATGCAGTTAATAAATGGATTATGAAGATCCATATAGTTCCTGAAAAATATAAATCGCAACATATGAAAAATAAATCTCATACCAAGTATTAAGAAGTCTAAGGTACAATATATTCCTGAATGATTATTGAAGTATCAAGAAGAGCATGTCCTAGAAGAAATGGTCATCGAATGATTTAGTAGTGAATAACTATCTCATTGTGTATATCACATAATAATCTCTCATATAGTAGAGAATATATCTCATAGAAGAGAAATGTTATTCATCAAAAATGATAACATCCTTGAAGGAGTTAATCCATGAAGGATATACCCCAATCAATTCTCGAATAAACACCAGTAATTCCTAAAGTGAATATATACCCAAGAGAAAGAAAATGAGGAATCCTAAACACCATGAAGGTGTCATACAAACACTCAGAAAGTATATATTGTAAAGCTAGCAACAAGTGTTGATATCCTCTAAATACCATAGAAGGTATAAGAATAATGATGATTTTGGCAATTGGATTATCCCTTATGTGCCAAATACAAGACTGGATTTATTTAGTGGTACAATTAAAATTCCAAAGATTTATGATTTGAAAATCCACTAAAAAGAATTATAAGTATTCAAACTCTAGTATAAGTTTGATACACTATCTAGAAGATATTGAATATGAACTTATTTACTCCCATAATCCTCTGAAAGGATTTATTACCTTGAAGGATAAAATTTATTTGTTTTGCCCAACTAATAAATGGTCATTATGCATGAAGCATATTGCTCTTGTTTATACCCATATAATTCATAGAAGAATTATGAGCCAACTTTTTGTACTGCATATCATTAATTAAGCACACATTTATGAAAAGTGTGGTTTCCATAATGAAGTTTAAAATTTGGCTTTATGAGGAGGAGCATATTTTATTGAATCTACCTCGAAGGTAAACCACTGGAATTACAAAGATTAAGTAAGATCATATTTGCTAAAACACTGAAGTTTATGCATAGATCATGAAGATCAATATCTATTCATGAAGAATAGAATATCCCGAAGAATACATGACCAAAAATGTTAAATGTTGTATTTTTTTCCTATGTGAGTTTTTACTTGAAGGTTTCTCACACAAGGTTTTTAATGAGACAACATGTGCAATGCAATTAACGAATGTGATGTACTCTTTTCTCCAAGAACAATTTTTTCCACTAGATTTTCGGATGAAGTTTTTAATGAGGCATGTGCATATCGTGATAATCGCCCAAGGGGGAGTGTTGTAAAACATACGGACTCTATCCTAGAAGGAAAGGGAACGAGAAATCATAATCCTAGTCCATTTGTATGTGGACTCTTACCAAACTCTTAGACCTTGGCAGAACTATATATATATATGTGGGAGCTCTATATTGTAATTACCAATATTCAGATGAATAAAGAATAGTCTCCTATCCCTTGTGTCTATATGTTCTGCTTTCATCTACTGTGTTGATCATGAGAGACAGAGAGGGAAAGATCATAACTGACTATATTATTATTATTGTGTGTCAAGTTGACATGTGAAAATACCAATGTAATCGTGACAGGTGGCATATGCAAATCATACACAGGTACCGGCGTATCGCCGTCCCTAAATGGAGTTTTGGTCAAAACAACACTTATTTCAAATATAAGCAAACTCAACAAACAATTGAAACTTGGAAATAGGTGATGCGCGTACCAAAGCATGAAATCGGCAGATTTTAGCACATCGCGTGAAAGTAGACCATCTGATGGCCCACGCGTCAGTCCAGGTCAGCTGGAAAGCCTCCTCGAAAACAGCCCGGTCATACAGCACAGGCTTCCCGGGCTCCTCCGGCCACACCAGAGTCGCCGTTCCGGCCGCGTAATTGACAGCTTCCATGAAGGACTCGCACGCGGTGACGGTGCGCTGCGAGAAATACCCCTTGGTGGCCGCCTCCACCTGCAGCAGCGCCTTCTGGATGCGGTTCATGCACTGCCCGAACGTGCCGTGGTCGACGGACAGGAAGAACTCCGCCTCGGGGAAGCGGACGTCGGTGTCGAACGGCGTCGGGTGCTGGTACAGGCCCCGAATGGTCGCCCTCGCGTCCTCGCGGGCCTCCTGCTCGAGGAGGCTTGAGTTGGCGAGGGAGCGCAGCGCGGACACGACGTCGTCGTAGCGCGCCCAGCGGTGGGCGCCGGCCATCTGGACGGGCACGGCCGGGCTGTAGCCAGCGTGGTGGGGTGGCCGCTCCCACGCGCCGTCGACGGCGTTGCGGATGACGCGGGGGATGCGGCGCCTGTCGTTGTCGTTGTTGGGTGCCGCAGCTTGGTTCATGGCTACGAGACCAGAGGAGACTCTGACGAACGGGTTGCGAGCGCTGCGGTTGTCGTCGTCGTCGCCCGCGTCGTGCTGAGCTGTTCGCTTCATGGAATCATGGGCCGGTGACGAGTTGAGAGGGGTTGGCCTTGGTCCTGTTAAGCGGTTGGGAAGGAGGGTGGCATCACGCCAAGCGTGTATGTTGACTTTGTGACTGGGGATTGACTTTGTGAAGAACGACGGGGCAAGTTGACTTGGGGTGTCCCATGTGCCGTCGGCCTGGGAAAATGCTAAACGCCTAAACCTGTGGATACAAGAACACTGTAATACTATCTTGCGATTGAAGCTTAGGTTCCGTAGTTTGCAGTGCGACGAACGTTGCTTAAATCTATGATTCAGAATGATAGTACTCCCCCGTCCAGGAAAGAATGTCACTTGGACCGATAATTGAACTCGTACGGTTCGGTAAAGATCGTCAGAAATTCATTCGGGTTGACTGCTGGCTGCTGTTGCTGCTGCTTGCTTTTGGTTCGGGCTGTTTAAACTTTCAATTGTTTGTTTGGCTGCTTAGCTCAAACTGTCAGATCTTTGCTTATGTGCGATATGATTTGATCTGCCTTCTGCCCTATGTTGTGTGGGTAGTGGGCACTGGCGATTCCCAGAACAGTAATGTTCAAGAGCGGGCGTCCAGACGCTACTTTCCGGACCTGCGTGTACCGGTCCAACAGGCCTGCTTACGCTCTGCATCTCTCATCTCCTCTCTTCAAAATATCTCCCCATCGCTTTCACCCATCGCGTGCTGCCATCTTCCCCGCCGCTCACCCCATCTCGCGTTGCGCGGCTCCCCCATCCAGCGCCACGCCCCCTCCATCATCATGCCTCGTCCCCCACGCCCGCTGAGGTGCTGTTAGGGTGCTGCCGATGCCGTCGTTCCCCACCAGAAGGTCGTGGCCGCTGTCGACGCCATGGCCGCCGCGATGCGCGACCTCAGCAAGGAGATGTTGCGATGAAAGCGCATATTGCAAGCTTATTTTTCAAGTGTTTCAGAGATGTTGCATATGTTGCAAGTGTTTCAGAGGCATGTTGCAAGTGCTTCTGAGGTTTGTTCAAAATGTTTCATCTGTTCCTGACGTATGTTGCAAACTTTTTTATCTGGATGTTGCATATGTTTCACACATATATTGCAACAATATGTTCCAAATGTTTCAGTCTTATGTTGCAGTAAGTGTTTTCATGTTGCAAGTTGCACATGTTTTATCTGGATGTTGCATATGTTTCACATATATGTTGCAACTGTATGTTCAAAATGTTTCATCTGACGTACGTATGTTGCATTCAAGTGTTTCATGTTGCACATCTTTCATATTGTTCGAAGAGTCGGGGGCCACGGGGGAGTGATGGTGGCACGGCGCGGGCACCGAGGAATAGGGCGCGGCGAGTTGGGGCTGGCAAACGGGGCGCGCAACACACCGGTGTCCTGCGGATGGGGCGCGCTCGGGGCCGGCGGTCGGGGCCCGATGGGTGCGGGTGCGAGTGCAGGGTGGGGCGAACAAGGGCGGGCTGCAAGTGCGAGGTGAGTCATCCAGACGCAGACGCTGCAATGGGGCGGGATGCGCTATGGGTGGAAAAAATCAGCGAACGGAGGTAGGCTACGTGGGCGTCGAACGTTAGGACCTCCGTCCGAGAAAACGTTCAGTCTCATTAATCAAAATTGTGCCAAAGGATCATTGTTTCAGAAAGAAATAAAAGGCACCGCAACGTACTTTTCATCTATACAGCTCCTCCCCCGCAGTACATAAATTGTGCACTAAAATTCTTTTGTACAGATTCTCTGGAAAGCGTTTTCATATAAAGCTATATAATAACAAACAGGGCCATTGTAACCTCCCCGTCAGCCTGGAACGACGAAGATCGTGCAGCGTTTCCAGCGCGACGAAGATCGTGCAGCGTTTCCAGTGCATCAGCTCAATGGTACGATCGAGCTTACAGTGCCATCAATGCAGATCAAGGTGGCCACGACGATTTTTTTCAGGCACTAATATTTGCAGCCCCGTTACAACAAGCATCACTATATAAAAATCTGTCATGCAGCATTTTAATGAGTGAGATAAGACAACGATAGGGTAAATGGTAAGGCTCAGCGCAGCTGCAGCCAGCTTGCCGAGCAGGCCCTTTTTGTTCACTATGTCTATGGAGGCCTGGAGGGAAACTTCACATGGATGACTAGATTGTTACACCATTGGGATGTTGGAGTACTTGCTCTGATATATTACATCGACTAGATACACATGCTTCTAAACATACAGTTGAACCAACTACTTCTCGACAATAAATAACAGACACATCAGGATATAATTGAGGGATTATACATGACATTAGGAAACCTATGACCTATTGCTATATATGATGACACAAATGTTTTAACTAAATTGACACCTAAAATGCTGAAGTTAGTACTTTACAGGAGACAGTTGTGGCGAAACCAAATGACATAGTCACCAGTGCTAGTTACACCAAAGAGTACCTCTTCATGGTATCAATGGCTCAGCTGCTCTGAAGCATTCATGATCTCAGTCTCCAGTCAGAAATACACAAGCTGTTCTGAAGCATTCATGATCTCAGTCTCCAGTCAGAAATACACAAGCGTTATTGATCTTTACAGGCTGTCACCACTGCTAATAAGAGATCAGCTGTTCCAAGTTATCAAGGAGCAACCATATCAATCTGACTCTTCACAGGTGTTACCGGCTGATTGAATGGTCTGCCTCTTCAATTAACAGGAATGTACATAAAACTTGCATGTCAACGGCTGGCAACATAAACCGTATGTAGCACTACAGTTGAAGCCTACGGAGGATCTCGCACTGAAGGACTAGCCATTCTAACACGGTGAGCGACAGATGGAGGTGGCCTGCCAACTGCTTCCAATATCCTAGTGAACACAACCTTCGTTGGGACACATGTCACTAGAGGAACTGCTCCTTCTGATCTGATTAAACCACCAAATATGTCACTATGCCAATGTGCCTTTGCTCGGCCACCTTCTCCATGGTGTTTTTTTGCAGTGGAAATGGAAGAGAGAGCTCTAAGGTTTGTTTTCTTGGATGACTTCTTATGGGACTTAGCTGATGACCTCCTAGCATTCAAACTGCTTTTCTTACTCACCTTAACCTGGTGATTCGAAGAAGATGAGTACTTTCTTAAGGTTGGTTTCATCTCATAATCAGAATACACAAGACCACCTTCATTATCGCCATCCAACAGTGCCCCTGATGGATTTGAACGGGGAACTCTTTGCATGGCAGTTCTTCTACCTGTTGGCCAAGCAGGTGGAGCAGCTGTGCTCTCTTGCATACCACTATCACCGCAGAATACCAGATGATCTGTGGAACCATCTTCAACTATTTCAATTTGGATAGGGTGTCCAACAATTGCTTTGCCATTAAGTCTGCTCATTAAAGAGACAAGAGGGACATGCTCTCCTTGGTAGCTGGCCTGAACTTTGAGGTTAACATTGAACAACATTGGTCGCATGCCACCAAAACGTGAAGTCAACTTCCTTTGGTAAAATGAAGGTCCATCCCAATGTGCATTCCGATCAACATGATATATCCGTTCAGCGTCCATATTTAGGGGAGAAACATTTGAAGAGTCATTCAAATAGTCATTAAAGTAACTGTAGCCTCGGCTAAGATCTCTTGTGGTTCTCAAGGATGAAGGGTATTTTTTACCATAGTACAAGTTAGCCACTGAATGGCTCATGTCCTCAAATAAATTAGTTTCCTCAGAATCATAATTGGGCTCCTCCTTAATTTGGTAAAAGCTTTCCTCAAAAAACTGCTCACCAGATGTGTGCATACTTTCTTTTCTGGGATTCCCACCATTTGTGTTATGCAAAGATCCTTTTAATGGTCCATTGTATTTGTTTAACCATATATTTCCATCTCTCATATCCACTAATCTCTTCGCGGCATTACGATTGTTGCGCTTTCCTTTCATGTGCCACTGAGACACACCCAGCTCAGAATAACCATCCTCTTCCTCAGATTCATTCAACTGGGGCACATAAGTAGAATATGTCACCTCATTGTCATCATAATCCACATGCTTGAACTTATCAGAAACTGGAACAGAATACGGATCAGGAGCACAAGATTCTATAGGTAGAATTACGCTTGCATCTGCCAAAAAAATTGCCATACAAAAGTTATCAATAAAATCTACAGAAGACTCATGCAAGAAATAACATCAGTAACAGACTATAAATTGGTACTCATGGAAGTTTCCGACCAAACAAAAAAGCAGCAAAGGTACACAGTAAATATTTCAAGGAATTATTTATGGCCTTCTAGCAATCTACTCTCTCCATTCCAAATTATAAGACGACAACAACAACAAAGCCTTTAAGTTCCAAACAAGTTGGGGTAGGCTAGAGTTGAAACCCAGAAGAAGCAATCAAGGTTCAGGCACGTGAATAGCTATTTTCCAAGCACTCCTATCTAAGGCTAAATCTTTGGGTATATTCCATCCTTTCAAGTCTCCTTTTATTGCCTCTACCCAAGTCAACTTCGGTCTTCCTCTGCCTCTCTTCACGTTACTATCCTGGCTTAGGATTCCACTATGCACCGGTGCCTCTAGAGGTCTCCGTTGGACATGTCCAAACCATCTCAACCGGTGTTGGACAAGCTTTTCTTCAATTGGTGCTACCCCTAATCTATCACGTATATCATCGTTCCGAACTCGATCCCTTCTTGTATGACCGCAAATCCAACGCAACATACACAAATTATAAGACATTTTGGCTTTTTTTAAATATATAGTTTTTGCTATGCACTTAGATATACATTATGTCTAAATGCATAGTAAAAGCAATGTATCTAGAAAAGTCAAAATGTCTTATAATCTGGAACGGAGGGAGTATTTGTTAATGAATAAGGCTCTGGGATTCCCAGATTCCTTGTTTTGCATGATTTTTGTCAAAATTATATTAACACAGTTAAATTCTGACTGTAATACAAAACCCCAAGGAAAAAAAAGAATGCAAGCCAGGGATGCTGAAATAGTAAGAAGCAATAGATCTGTACCTACTATTTCACCTCTAAACTACCAGTTCAGAAACGCCCAATGGAAGTACAAAGACTTCTTTTAGTCATGGATTTACTTTATAAAAATGCCAATGATCCATAATATGCATAATGACTAATTATTGCATCTTTAAAGTCTCATAGTTCTATAAGTATGACTGTGTTCCCTTGTATTTGATTCCTCCACCTTATATGCAATAATACTTACCATAAGACAAGGTCATTACAATATCTCATACCTACAACTGTTCTTTCTTCTTAACATATTTACCTAGTAAAACTGAATCAATTATCGTCAACATCATCCAACAAGCCTTACCCATGGTTTGAACAAATGAACACAATCACATGTAGAAATTAATTATAGCAATTTAGTTCTTCATCACCCTTAACCCTAAGCATGTACTCCCTCCATACTAAAAAATGAAGTCGTTTTGGACAAGGGTTGGGTCAAACATTGGGAATATAAATCATGAATAACTTTTAAGTTGTTGAGTTTGGAAATGTGAAAACCATATGTATAGATTTGTCTTGAAAAATACTTTCACAAAAATTTACATATCTCACTTTTTGATAAATATCTTTATAAAAATAAGTAGTCAAAGTTATGCTTTGGAGACCGTGTCGCTGTCCAAAACGACTTCATTTTTTAGTATGGAGGGAGTACATATTTAGGGGTCCAGTGTATGTGTAGAGTTACAGTGATTCAATATACGAAAGTAAATCATGCTGTATATGGGTAAGTCAAGAATGCAATCTGAAGCAAGTTGGCGTGAAGTGAAACTTTATAACATGTTTTATGCAGGGCAAATGAATCATCAAAAGAGCCACTGCAATCATGCGAAACAAACATCTGTACTGCCATGTTAATAGTGAGTCATTTTTTGAGGGAAAAAACACCTCCACTTTCAGCTACAGACTGTAATTTTCAGCCCTTATTGTCAATATTTGCATCACTAAATCGCAAGTGTGATGCTAATACTAATGTTTTAGTATGTTGTGCTATGCTATAGCCAGCATTCTATGACAATGTAACATGAATTCAAACCATCGGAAAGAAGAAATTCGAGGTGCACATACTTTGCTGAAGTTCAGCATCATCTTCAGTCTCACTTTCTGAGCATTCCCTCTCTGAAGACTCAGTTATTTGCTTCTCAACAAAGTCAGAAGAAGTGTGCTCCTCAGAAAAATAACCAGGATGCCGAAGATAGCTTTCATTCTCAAAATCAGCTCCAGTAGAAGACATCTTTATAGAAGGTAAATCACTATGACTCTGAGTTTCACCAGAATCACTAGCCATGTATGTATATTTACTTCTTCTGGACCGGGAGGTGGCGAGTGAAGAATTATTATTCTCCCCAATTAACAAAGCCCCCAAATCATCGCTTTGCTTTAAGTGAGGAGGCAAGTTTTCACTGCTCTGCAATACTTGAGAAAGTGGTCTGCGTCTGTCTGATTTTGAAACAAGAGAATCTTCAAAATCACTTCCGTCCGATCTATTTTTCTTCACAATTGTACTCCTCTCCTTGTTCTCTAAAGTGGCACCTCCATGAGAATGTCTCAAATGGGATAAATCACCCATGTGATTACTGACAACATTTCCTTGAGTAAGAGATTCTGAAAAGTTTCTCTTCGAACCAGCATGTAGAAAACATTGTCCCACTTCTTTTTTTACATCAGCAGGAACAGATGCATCTTTGCGCTTCTTGCTCTTTTTACTCTTGTAGCGAGTACTTCCAAGGTCTTTGCGATGTTTTGTGCAAGCTGCATTTCATGAAGACAGCTCAGTTTTAGATGCAGAATGTTTGAAGCTCATGGATAACATACAAGAAACAACCTAAACAACTAACAAAACTCTTCACTGTCACCTAAACTTACCAGAAATATTACCAGGTGGTCCAGGTCTGAAACCTTGAGTCTGATACTTTGATGCAAGCTGCTTCCTCTCCAATTCAAGTGCATGAAGAATAGCATCTTCTCTCCGTGCATATTTCTCTCTTTTCTTCACAACAGTCCCTTGAGTGGCCTCTGCCTTCTCAATACAGGCATCGAACTCTCCACACCTGAATGCTTTAACACGTTTTGATTTCTCAAGGTTGTACCAATCCCTAAGAAACAAAAGGAAAAGTAAATACAAACAGAATATGTGAGGAACTTCAAATTTCAGAAAATACGATTACTCCAGGTAGTTAGAAATGGACTTGAAGGAATGGAAAGTATCCAAAGCCTAGTCACAGGGGACGTGGAGCCATGCCTCATTCCTCGTGCCGGGAATGCCATCATTCCCATTCTGGAAACATGGGAACAATCTTGTCCCAGCCTTGTCAAAACCTTTTTCAAATAGCATACCGTGTTCCTCAATCACATTTCTCAAACCCCATTGACCCAGAAACTTCATGACTGTCCCAAAGAATCATCTTTGGATAGGAGTGTGTGAAAATTACCATTCTACATGCCAGAATCATCACCAAGAAATGAATATTATTGTTCCTAATATTAACCTTTTTTCATTTGTCTGAACTTGTTGATTTTCATACCTAGTCTACCCCAATTTGCTTGGGGGTAATGTTTTGTTGTAGTAGTAGTTCAGAATGAAATAAAATTGGATACGGAAATGCAATATATACCCAGCTACTATTCCAGGATATTGACTAGCAAAATAATTGGAAAAACTCTTAATAGATATGGCTTAAAATTAGCTGATAAAATTTTGAAAACACAGATTCACAGGAGAGGAAGTTTTGACAATAGAGCAATAGATGTAATAATGCGATCTTCATAATAAACTAAGAAAAAGGGGATAATAGGTACAATCAAGGATACGCGGAGACTTCTTGAATCATTAAGACCTAATCACCTCACATAACAATAATTCTAAGATTTTAATTCTCCTAGTGAAGTACTCCATCCATTCGAAAATGTGAGTCATTTTAGTTTTGTCTTAAATCAAACTTATTACCTTGACCAACTTTATAAATAAATGCACCAACATCTACAACATCAAGCTAGGTTCCTCAAATCCACCATGAAATATGCTTTGATAGTGCATATATTTGATATCACAGATGTTAATATATTTTCATATAAATTTGGTCAAAGCTAGAGAAGTTTCAGTTAGGAGGATACTAAAAGTCTAAAGCGACCTACAATTTGGAACAGAGGGACTACACTAAGTATCCAATAAGGATATCAAAAGCTATCTGTCCTATCTCACAAACAAAATCAAATTAACTACACTAAGAAGTATTATTCTACATCATATCTACCAACAAATGTAGTAGCTTAGAATATTATGGCACAATAGGGGCCATAAATGTCTACTTGCTGATACAGAGCAAGTATAAAAACTGTACAATCTGTCTGGATACCAAAAGGAAACAATTCTTTGTGCAACATAAAATCTGCATGACATACTGTAAGTGAGATGTTAGCAACCCTAGAATACATATGCTCAGGAATTTCAGGTTCTTCAGAAAGCAAGGGCACAAAGCCACCATAATTCTAGAACATATCCTATTGTTTCCACTATATATCCTGAATTTGCTATTGTTTCCCACTTCTAAAACTTCCATACATCAAATTGTTTACACTAACATCCAACCAAAGAATATCATGAGCCACAGCCATGAAACTGCCTGGGAAAGTTTTCCAAGAAAGAAAGAAGACAATTAATGGTTTCAAAGTTAGTAAGGAAATAGACCCACTACATATCATAGCCACCAAGTTCCCAGGTCAGTGGAGTCGAGGAATGTTATTAAGGAACGTTATAAGGTACTTGAGAAAAGTTTTGACAAGGCAGGGACAATATTGTTCTGGCGTTACCAGAACAGGAGCAACATTCCAGGGACTAGGAATGTGGCATCGTTACATGTTCCCAGTGACCGTGCTACATATCCTATGAACAACAGCTCTTCTAAATTTTGCAAGGTCTAAAAAAGAAACTAGCAATGAGCTTGACTACAAACAAAGAAGATAGTACTGTATGTCCTGGTAAAGCCCCCATTCTCTCAGGCATCGTAGCTTCCATGAAAGAAAGAGCCAAGTATCCCACATGGATCAGAAATAACAATAACAAGTAATCTAAAATGTAAAAACAGCACAGGGCTCAGGGGTAGAAAAACTAAAACAAAACAAGGGAGTGGGACCTTACACGCTTGCGTCTTCCCGGCCGAGGAGCTTGACCGGCGTGCCGGACCTCGGCGACATGATCTGCGACGGTGGGAGCTCCTCGGGGCCCAGGATCCTGCCGGGCCACCAGGACCCGTTCCTCCGACGCACCCACACGATGGTCCCGGGCGAGGTGTCCCCGACGCCGCAGCAGCCCCCATCTCCGTCCGCTCCTCCCTCCACCGAGCTCCCCACCATCCCGCCTCCCACCAAACCCTAACCGCCGGCCGGCCCGCGCGCCTCACCCCGCTTCGAGAAGCTCCCCTCCCCCTCGAGATCTGGTCACCATTCAAATCTCGGAGGCTGCCGGCATCCAGAGGCGCATCCCCCACGGCGCCGGCCCCGCGCGACTTATTCCACCGAGATCACTCTGGCCGCGGCGCGCTCGCTCTCGCCTCAGGCAGCTTCTAGAAGCTTCTTCTCAGAGGCTCCCAGAGCCCCCTTTATCCTTCTGCTGCTGCGGCCGCTGCTCCTCCTCCTCCTCCCTCCGCCCACGCCGGCGCGGGGATAGGGGCTCCGCGGAGTCTCCGGCCCGCTGCCGGTGAAGTGGTCGGTTCCGGCGCGGGCGGCCCTGGAATATTATTTCCCTCTCTTTTGTTGTGAGGAAAAAAAGTGAAATAAAAAGGTTTTCTTTTCTTTCGGGGCAGTTTGGTTCCTGGTTTCCGGTGGTCCGGTCCGCGTGAGAGACAAAGCGAGGGCTGCGGCTGCCGGTGCCGGTGCCGGGGGGGCGGACCGATGGAGGGAAAAGGAAAGGTAACCGACGGGCTGGCCCGACCCCAGAGGCCGGAGGGAAACGTGTAGACAGAGCCGGAGCGGGCGGGGGCGTACAGCGTACTCTCCCGTATCGACCGGCGCCCGCCCGACGCGCAGACAGCCCACGTGGGGTGACGACGTGAGGGGAGGCGTCACGGCTGTTTTTTTTTTACCCCGTTTTCCAGCTGGACAGGTACAAGCGGACCAATTTGGGATACAAGTGTACGTAGACATAGGATTGGAATACAAGCTGAACTAATAAAAAAAAAGGATTGGAATACAAGCCTTTGCACGAAGCTCCATTTTGCAAATTGAGAAATAAGTTGAATATTCTTAACTTCTCCAACATATCTTGAAGAGCACCGATTATATCTAGTCTCTCGTCGGACCAAAGCAAAGGTAAAATTGGTTACGCAGTGAGCATATATATCTTACTAGATATGATTAGTGCATATAGACATGGCTTGGTAACCTAAGAGCATTCATTGAAAATCAAATGTATTTGAGTTCACATTCTACCACAATTTCTTTTATGTTTGTATTGTGTCTAGTGGTAGCATATGTCTTGTTCATGAGCTAGTGAAGTGTTTGAATCAAGTTGATGAGCTATACAAGTGCCAAATTCTATTTCAACAAGATAACCGCTCATGTGCGTGTGCTTGAAGAGGGGTCAAACCGAGTTTGAAGCTTAAGCAAATCAACAACTAGTTTAAGCCAATGAGAAGGAAGATCATGGAAACAATCTAAGAATAGTTCAAGTAATCATCAACTATAAGTGATCATCTACATCAAAGTGTGATGTCTACCCTAATATTTCAAGCCTACTTGTGATGTGTTGAGTGGCAAGGTTGGTTACGAAGAATTGGAATTCTGCATACTGTGATGTGATGGCCTAAACCCACCTCAAACTCTTGGCCAGATTCAACCAGCCTACGGTGGAAGGATTCTAGTAGGATTTCTATTAGGCACTGATTCTCTTCAGAAGTGTGCTACGGTTGATATGAAAACAAGGCGCAGCATTCGAGAGGCCTTAAGGATGAATTCCCTGGTCGTGACCCACTTATCATTGCTTCATGTTTTGGGTTCTACTACGTGTATTTGAGCTATCCTGAAGATATGCTGGTGTGGAACTAGGCTATTGGACAATAGCGTACTATATTTCCCTCCATGAGTAGAGAAGAAAGCTATTATACAGTTCTAGCAGTGTCCTTTCAGGACGGGGTCCAAGTAGCAAACAGATACTAGGTGGTTGTCCCATATTTGCCCACCTTTATCAATGCAGATTCTCCTAATCCGCGCATTAGGTTCCGAGTTTGGACCTCAGACTTGGGAGATTAATGCTACCATCATTGATCTTGAAGAGTTCAAGCCCAACAATGTGGTGACAGTTGATGAGATAGTTTACTTTCATATATCCAGACATGAGGTGGTATTTTACTACTTGGGTGAGGGCCAGCCCAGAATGTTGAATGTGCCTGTTCAGGTTGCTGGTGTGGTAGATTTTGCACTCTGTGAGAGGTAGGGATCGCTAGGCATCATCTCCTATGATATGGTTGAAGACAATATATAGATACATACTCTTGATGGTCCTGAATCGATGATTAAAGTGACCATTGCTTTAACAGAGATGGTTGCAAGACACAGGGTTCAATTTAGAAGTCTAAGCCAGGATCTCAAGAATCAGGAGAGTGAGGAGGCAACTTTACTTGATATTGGTCTTGTTGGCTATGCTGACCCCAGGTGGCTTCTTATCAGCCAAAGAGATGGCTAGATCCTTATTGATGTCATTGATCGAAAAGCAAGAAGATTGCGCCTCAAGGACGAACATGGAAGAATACTGCACCCAGGTGTCGAAAGAGTGTTCTTCGTCAGTCACAAGAGCACTTTCCGACGACTGGTGTGATAATGCAGTTGCAGTACATAATAGGATACTTTCATACATAGGGCCAACTCCCAATTTAGCACATAAATTGAAGCACCGGTAGCATACTATGATACCATAATCAGAAAAGCGATCTTTGTTTGTTCTTGATCCGGCGAATACTCATAGGAACCACATTTGTTGTGATGGTATTAATCATTGTATATATACTGTATCGTATATGCATACCGTACTAATTGCAGTTAATGTTTGCTACTGGTTACTACGTAGTCATAGCAGCAGATGTTTGACTCCGCCTTAATGCGCTGTAATATTTGTTTCTTGTCGGTTCCCATGTACTTGAAATACTGCTCCCTTAATCGATCTAGGCAACTCTCCTGCCTTTCATTTCATAAACATATTACGTATGCCAGTCATTGCTCCCGATGTCCTTTACTAATAAATAAATGTCTATATCTACATGGTGTCCTTTACTAAATGTCTATATCTACATGGAACATGAGCAATGAGGCAAGCCCAGAGTAATCCACCACATAAGAATCCCACAAGGTTATAAGAAGGCATATGGTGGATCCACATGACATGGAATACATGAACCACACTTGGACTAGAAGGGATTAGCTTTTCCTCTTCAAATAAAAATAAAAAATGAAGGAATTCCTTCTTCTATTCTTTTTTAGAAGACTGATTTTCTAAACAATAGCAACATGATTTTTTTTAATGTTTAGTGGATTTACCTTTCCATAGATACTAGGAGAATACCCCGCGCGTTACTGCGGGGATTCCAGATAATTTAAAAAGAAATTAGTCTTTTATATTTATAGTTATATGAATGAAACTATCTTAAATTAATTTTGGTGAATGGTTTGACACATCGATATGGACAGCTAAATGCATGTTAGTGGATGAAGAGATATTACATGTGCTAGTTGGCTATAATTGCAAGTTCTAGTGGATTGTTGATGTGGATAGCTTGCATGTTGAGAGAAATCTCTAGTGGAGTTTAGCTTTATAAAAGTATATGATTTGAAGTCTTTTTAGAGCGATGCATACAACTAGCACAGTAGATGTCTGACGTCTACTTCCATTTCAGGCACATCCCCCTAGTTAATTATTCAGGCTCACCTACACCAACTCAGCTGAGATCCATAGGGTTTATAAGTTGTATCACCTTACATCACACTTCTTACCCCCCACATAACTCTTCTACTCCCTCTGTCCAGAAAAGAACGCAATTATGAGAAGTGTGCCAATCAAACTAGTTCAAGTTTGACTAAGTTTATAGTAAATAACATTAACATTTAAATTTTTAAATAAATTTATTATGAAAATATATTCTATAACCAATCTAATGATACTTATTTTGTTTCATGAGTGTTAGTACTTTTTAATATAATTCTAGTCAAATTTTGAATTGTTTGGCTTCTCGGGATGTGAGAATTGCATTCTTTTGTGGACGGAGAGAGTACCATTGTGACCTGTTAAATGAAAGACCAAATAACAGACAAAAAATTCTTTGGCAACGGCTTTCTATAGCAAATTATCTTCCCAAACTCACATGTTCCTCAACACCAACCACATTTTTACTTATCAATTTTGATGCAGCCAACATAGTCAAAAGCAAACAAAACATTTCATACCAAATGACTCAAATTTACATGATAAATAAGTACAAAAGGTGTTTACTCAAACTGATGGTAATTTAGAACAACTAAATATGTCTTTGGTCTGTGCTACCTTCCTCTCACCCTGGTAGAACCAAAGGAGTTTTAGGGAGGCTAGGCTACCATTCAAGGAGACCAAGCATTTTATCTCTACCACATATAATGTATTGTTGGTATAAATTAATGCACACAGAATAATCCGCAAGCGCACGGATATTATACCGTTGTAGCACTTCACCGGAAGTAACCCAGTTTTATATCGAACTCGAGGAAACGTGTGTGAGAATAACTAAATCTAACTTAATACAACTTCACAATCAAGGCTAGATAATAGAAGCGTAGGGGAGATCACAGAGGTCTTCTAGTTCTAACTTTGGTAAGTTTTATCTTCTATTGTCCAGTTCTGGAGATATTACTAAAGAAAACATAGGTATAGTATGTTCCCTATAGCAACAATGTCCTGCTAGACCTACTAACGGGAGGTGGACTACAAAGGATTTAACGAGGCTATAAGAGTCACCCTCGTGATCTACCACCGATCTAGAAAGTAGGGTACATCCATGAGTAACCGAGTCTAAGCACCACGCTTACACTATGAATACTACTTTAACCCAGGAGCTACAAGGATTAAAGTATTCAAAAGAGAGTCACAAACATGAAAAACAATATAAACAAGATGCTTACTTGAATTAGAATTCGATTACCAGAGAAATATCAGAAGCAAGCTCATGAAGAACTTGATTCTGCAAGGGTACAAGCCGTAGAGATAGCACCGACAGGCCAGGACTCCTCCGAAACTCTTCCCTCTCACTCTATTTCTCTATCTCTAATACAAAACTAGATCCTATCAATGACTAATCTTCTCTTGATTGGTAGCTTTGATCCTAGTGGAAATATGG